TAAATAAATAAATAAATAAATAAATAAATAAATAAATAAATAAATAAATAAATAAATAAATAAATAAATTACGGTATTGCTGGTGAGCTGGCTTGCCAACATTACTGTTTACCGTCGATTTTTTACTTTTTCCAATTTCTTGTATGCTTCGGACAAATCACAAAATGTTTCCAGAGCGGAGGTGGTGTGGTGGCAAGTGGCGCGCTGTCACAAGCATGATGCAGGTATCAAATCGTGGATCGGTTCCTTCTAAGGCAACAAACATCTCATCATTAGAGAGTCGGTAATTGATGCCAGACTTTTTGGAAGGATAGTTGCACAGTCTTCTAGATCGACGGCCGAATCTATAGGTCACATACGCAATCAAAATGTTACTAAGATCCTGTATGGAAGTCGAATGCGGGGTGCATTCAGGAGTGGGACCGATCAACGCCAAAAGGCTTCGCCTTCCACCCTCAATTCACTTTTTCAGTGGTAATGCTAATGAGACGATAAGGGTTTCTGTCATACTACGAAGAACAAGACGACGAAGGCATCCTTTGCACCTTCGATGGTTACCTTGGGTTGCAGGCTTGAATTAACTTTGACTCCCCTGGCTGCTTTCATAGTCCACGGTTTGGCCAGCGAGCGAGCAAGCGATCGAGCGAGCGATTGGGGTGGCGCTTGGCCCTTTTTACAATTGAATCTTGGTCAATACCGCGGGCAAGCGCCGCCCCAATCGCTCGTTCGCTCGCGGGTGAAATCGTGAACTATGAAAGCAGCCCCTCGATGCAGTGTAGGTCTTCCACAAAATCGGGCTGAGCTGTAGGTATACTAGTATCCCACGTATCATGAGCTTTCTACACCAAGCCCTTTCCATATTGCGCGTAGTAGTCCAAACCCTTTCTGTTCCAGACAGGCTGAGTGGCCACGTCCCTTCCTTTTTACCACATCTCATATGTTGGAAAAAACTCTACCTTTGACTTTTAGTGATCCAATGTATACCCTAGTGTACATGCAACGAAACTCAATAATTCATTTTTATTGATCGCTTTACAAGTACAAAATTTCAAAATATACAACAATAAGGTAGTCCACCGAGCTATTAAGCATATGGCCTAACTGTTAATAGGACACCAATGCCCGTTTTTTGTGAACATTCCCCACACCTGACAGTTAGCTACAATCTCGTCACTTTCGGTTCTTCATCATCTCCCACACCAGAATCCATAGATGTTCTGTTAACCAGTTCTACATGTGGTTTTACTTCAAAACTTATACCAGTTGAATCGGTACTAGAGCTTTCACTGGACGATTCACTAATTTCAGGAGGCATTACAGAACTGATCATAGTCACAGGTGAAAAATCTAAATGTTCTTTCTTGGGCGGTTTCCGAACGGGAATTCCTCGTGGTGGTGGACTAGGGGCTAGTCGTTTCTGATCGAAAAGTTTCGTTGGGGCATTTTCTCTTGTGGATCTCGGTATTGTGGCAGGTGCCATGGTTGACGTCACTTGGGGAGTAAATCGACTGTTGTTCCTCGAAATGATCTCATCGTATTCCTCGTCCTCGTCTCTGTCCGCTTTCACCTGAAAAATTAAATTCAATACCAGTTAAGTTCTTTGAACGCCTCATCACTTGGTTAGAAGGGTTGAGGGTGCAAGCACTGGGAGGAGTCTCCAGAGACCACTTGCCTTCCCCGGAACCTCCTAAGACTTTTACCTTTGCCCCACTTCGACTCTTTTTTTCAGAACTTCCTAAGATAAGACCCTAGGTAGGTAGAAGATGAGCACTGCTCTCGGAGAGCACCAACTTTCCTCATTAATTCCTCCGATTCATTCCTCACGCCTTTAACCTCCAAGATACGCTCCTGTTGAAGCCTATTTTCAAAAGCAATGGAAAAGCAATGGGGAAATCGACTGTGACTTACATTTTGCTGGCTTCCAGCAGTCCTCGAATTCAATGCTGTAGCTGGAAAATAAATTCGGCTCGTTACCGTTCCCTTCTTGCAAACCTCGCAAGAATCACAGCCTCTGTAATCGATCAATAAGTATTGAATACTTATGCTTCAAATATCTCCTAGACTATAATCCAGATCATTCTGGTCTGGTCAATAATAGGCCAAAGTATAAAGTCTTTTGACGTCATTCAATCCCGTCTGAGGCATGCACCCCGCATTCGACTTCCGTTCAGAATCGTAGTGATGGATTGAATGCGTAGTGGCCTATACAATGACTGGCGATGGTTAGCCGATGTACATGTAAGTAAGTTCTTGTATCTTCCCGGACGAGCCTGGTGAGTTTAGCCGACCCAGAGGGATGGAAGGGTTAGTTGGCCTAGGCGGATATCGATCGGGGACTCGAACCTGCGACCGTGCATGCGATACAGTGCGCCAATTGCCACTACATCCCTTCTTCTAGGCAATACTTGGGCGGAATCATCATGGAATTTCTTTGCTGCACCCTGAACTTCGAATTTGGGAGGAGCACATCGGTAGTCTTGCGCCGCCTGCAGATCCCCCCTAACCCTCTCTCGTAGCCTATCCGTCTTCCTTCTTCCCCACCCGTCCTTACCCACAGAACCCTGCCTTGAACGATCGGATAAGACCAAGCATCTTCATTTATCACAAAGAAAATTGAACGTGTTTGACTACTGCTAACCTAAACTCGCATAGGGGTTTGGTGATTTGAGGTAGAGATTTGGAATTGATTCGATGTAGTGCACCATGAGGTTCTCTATCTGAAAGAAGATTTTATAACTTTCTAATAGTGAATACTAATGATATTTCAAATCCTCCAGTAGGATACTGTAACACGAACAAGACAGCTTTAGAGAATGTGAACACCTCTTGCATGGTTCATCCACGGGGACGGTATTCGATCCCTGTAGCGTGTAGGAGCTCTGGGTATCGGAGACGAAGGAACTTAAAAGAACACTGTCCGTCCTCAAAAATTCTTTACTCGAGTTATCTTCTGAAAATGCCTACGAACTTGTTCCTGAACTGCTGTTCATTGACGACCCATCGGGTCTACCTGAGTCCCATGTGGAATTCGTTTGGGGACCTTTCACCCGATGAACATCTTTCTGAACGATTTTTCATAGTAAGGTAGACACTTGAAAAAAAAATCAACATTGGGTTAACTACTTACCAAATATTTACCGAATGGACTTTTCCTGAGTTCCTCCTCAGTCAATGGTTCCCTGCTGACTCGTTGCCGAATTCCTACCGTAGGCCAATCGGGGTTACTGGAATACTCTTATTCTAACACAGTTCAGTAAGAGCAAAAAATGGTTTACTAAGGACCCTCCCAATGTCTGCTCTTTCCTATTGCGTTGCCTAGAAGGGTAGTGCTCAGGCTTAGTGCTCAATCGGAAGCTTATTGTGCTTTGGAATCAAGTTCAGAGATGTTCTAAGGGTCTGGACGTTTTAGGGAGAGGGCGCCTACTCAATCAAGCAGAGAACGGCGCCCAGGAATGACCTTCGGGAACTGTCCTTGAGAAAGTATTGGGGAAGTAGGATGACATCTGAATGGTAATTCTGCAAATCCTAAAAAGAGATGATGAAATGATAGCGTCCATCACTTTGACTTGGATACGCCATGCCTTCAGAATGCGTTCACATTGAAGGCAACTTCTCTCTGCGGTCCGTGAGATTAGGGGTCTTGCAGTGACTACTAGCGTACTATAACAGGGGTGGTCGGGCCATCCAATCTGGTTATGCCTCCGTTTTCATGGCTCCGAACCATTCCATAACCACCAAGCTAACATTACAGATCGTTCGAGAAGGATGGATCCCCAATACGTCGACATATTCTAATACAGCAATTCAAATGGAGGTTGAATAGGAGGGAACGGAATTATGAAGCGGCTGCAGGCTCCGTGATGATAGTGAACAACTTAGACGAAGTGTGTCTTACCTAGAAATTAGCATCCACAAATAAACTGATAAACTTACGGTGTCAGAAGGTTCGGTCTCCACTGGTGGCTCGGCGTTGTGTTGTGATTTGCGTAGGTAATCACATCCCGAACACTGCTCCCTGGTTCAATATGTGTTTCAATCCTAAAATAGAGCTCTGATTTACATTCCTTTTTGAGAGAAGAAAAACCATTGCTCAGGAAATGGGCTGAAATGATGATAAGGAAGACAATAACATAGGCTTTCATCCCGTCGTACGTGAGCTCTGGGCATCACATACTTACAAGTAGCTTTAGTAGGGTGGTTAAGCCTACAAATCAGCTATGCAGATGGTTCAAGCTCAAATTCAAGGCTGGCTCCATTTTCATTCATTCATTTTCGTTTCCATAGACTCCAGCTGACCCTTAACCCGTAGACTGTGCAAACTGGGAAGTACTGATGCTTTCCAGCACTGCTCCGGTCACAATAAGTTTGGCATTAGGGTTTTCTTCGATTTCTCTAACATTCTACTTCGAACTGAAAGAGAAGAATGTCGAGCTCCACATCACCTGACTGATCATTTTTTTCTTTTTCACGATGTGCCGTGCACTTGTTTTGGTGAAAATGTAGTTAGAGGGACCTCTTGACCATTAGGTACTAGAGCGCAGAAAAGAAGGAAGAGACGTCTTCGTAGATTTGTAATGCTTTTTCCTAAGCATAGAAAGTAAGCTAGCGTGCCACCACTAACAAGTTCAAAATGAAATGAATCAGGGGTCAACTGAGTTCACCTCATCTCATCACAGCTTTTCGCATGAGGTAAAAGACTAGCCCAATCTCCCCACCTACATTTTCACCCTCGATGATTTCCTTTCTGTTATCATGAGTTATCGGAATTGCAAAGACTTTCAAAGCCGATGCAATAATTATAGGAATTTTATGAATAAGCAAGCTAAAAGAATAAAAATATCTTATCAAATATCTGAACATTGAAAATACGAATATTTACTGGAAGTCAGAAGAGGATGGCGAGCTATTTGCTAAAATATCGGTTAGTATTGGCCCTTCTGAAAGACTTTGGACCCCGATATACGCTCACGACAGCTGTGCTTATGACCATTGACACTGGTCCACTCCCTACTTCAATACTATCACGATCCAGTTGCGTTTCTGCAGGTACTGTGATTACTCATATTGTAGTTGAGTGCAGAAATGGAATGTTCCTGTTGACGTCCATCTTTACCAGCGGCACATGGAAGTTCGCCAGTTCTCGGACGTTATGGACCGTAAGCAACTGATAAGGACACAAATTCCTAAGCGCTGTATCACTTTTTTTTCCTAAGCGAACACCAAAATGACTGCTAACGATTATCGATTACCAAATTCCGAGACACGTTTTTAAGAAAAATTCCGTGCCGATTTTCATGCCAAGAAAAAGAAAACACGAATTTCAGTATTTGGTCCAGATATGCAAGAAGAACTGTGTACATGGTAGGGGTGTTGTAGTGCCAAATGGACGCGCTACACACTTATGGTCCGAAAATCAAATCATAAATCGAAAGCCCGGCTGAACCAAGCCTTCCAATTCACAGGGTCGGTCAACTCTTTAATGCCAAACTCCTTTGGCAGTACATCGCCACATTTCATTCAATGGGAAAATTGCGTGTTCAATCTCCGGCGACTCTGAATGGAGGTCGAATGCGCGGCGCATCCTCTAAGTGGAATGATTGGTGTCACAAAACCAGTCCCAGCATTCTATTTTATCTATTAGAGGAGCTTGGCATGTGACTATATCTGTTTTGATAAAAACTGCGAGCCATATATTATACAAGAAAGCTAACATGTACATCCTACGAGTGGGAGTTGCTTAGAACCCATCAGGATTCAGGGCCTACAGAGTAGAATTCAGGCGAATGCTTCCCCTGACAGTTTTTCAATTGGAAATCCGGGAAGGCGTCCTAGGAAACATTGGAATGTACAAATACTGTTGAGCTTCAAATGAGTTGGAAGTAATCAGTATATGCAATTTACGGCCTATTCGGGATTGCCCATGCAAGGCGCTTCTCATGCAGAAAAATTCAGGTTCTGGGAGATCTACGGGTGATCTGGACGACTCATCGAACCAATGTTAAACTAGTAGTTCATTTTCACTTCAGGGATCCAGCAGATACACAATTATGTGCTCTTAGCCAATACCCAACCTCAAAGTTACTAGTTCCTTCGTCTGTTAAGGCATCTGACATCTGTTAGGGCGTCACATGACAAGTGCAGGGTGTATATGTTGATAAAACTGAAGGCCAGCTTTCCGGCGCCAGTCGTTTCCTGTCAAGGCGCCACAAATCTGCTTTGTATTGGTATTGACACCTTCACTTCCTGCAGATGGACACCTAAACCGATGAGTGATGCTGCACCTCTTTCCACAGGAAGTGAAGGTGATAGTAGGGTATATGGGGTTATCAACAAAAACAAACAAGCAAATATGGAAACAAGTATGAAAACAGAAGGGAATGGGGTCTCCCTTGACGTTAGTATTTCCTAGATTGGAGAGAATGGCTCGGTACAATCCCGAATGGCTGGTTGGTTTTTTGATGCATTTGCTAAGCACCAATGAAGTGTAGCACATGGTGGCTGAGGGCGTGGTCTACAAGTGGGCGGGATCTGAGGGTTAAGCTCACTCTGTACCAAGCTGAATTAATCGGTTATTCCAGTTATGGCGGACCTTAGTATTGGGCTGTATCCAATCCCACTGACTTTGATTCGCCCAAAACTGCCTCTCAAACCCAAAGTTATGAGTGCACAGAGCAATCAAGGTAAGAATCATAAAGGAACATTTTACTGCTAAGAGGTCGTTATAGTTAGAAAAAGAGGTTGTAAAATTCGATTCGACCTTACCTGAAATCATATGGCAGGCTGATATCGGAACTTGAGAGACCTTTGCTTTTGCTTCTTCCCCGTGATCCCAAGAAACCAAACATTTTCGTTCGTTGCGGCGCAGTCCTGAAGGAGGCCGATAAGTCGTGGAAACTGATAGGTCGAATGCCCAGTTGGCATCTAGCGGATTATGAATTCTTCAGTCCCGGAAAACTTAATAACTTGTCATTACTATTTGGAAAGCTGTCACGTATATGGTCGGACCGGGACCGATTCATAGAACGACAGCTGCCGAACCATTGCACTGGGGGCTCAGAATATTTGCCTTCCATCGCTGATAACGCCCTTATAAGGTAATACTATATGTTCGTTACTACTCATAGAGGGTCAGTAAACAAAGTAAACAACATAACTAAAGTATAGATCAAAAGAATCCGAGTAAGGGCTGGAAAGTGGACAGTGAAAGAGAAAAATCTGAGAACAGGCAGGTGTCTATTACTCATTGTATGTAGCGGTGACTATTGATTAGGTTCACGCCTTTTCAATAAGGAACTCTGTGGAATGTTTGGAATTTGAATCGCATAAAGAACGAACTTATCGAGACTGACTAAGTCGTTTGGCAGACGTCATGCATTTGACTTCCATTTGGAATCGTCTGGACGTTTGAAAGGGGATTGACGTAGCCAATTGCTCTCACTGATCAGCTGACTTTCAGCTGCCCATGCTTCGGCCTCTTTTAAAAGAGTTTAACCAGATAATGATGTCAGCGTCATGAAAAGTGGCTACAGCCCCGCATACATGATTTCTGGGGTTTCCAGCCCCATGCCTAACCATCCCTCAAGAAGAAAATGGAAAACGAGATGAAAGGGATATATATGGCACTCTTGAAGAATTTTTTAAAGTTTTACAATCTGTAAGGACATCATCAAGAACGACCTTCCACTTCTCTTGAAGATACTGCCGCTGCCAACTTCTTCCATCCCCTCAATTTTCCTCCTTTTATATAGTGGGAGAATCCTCATGCTGAGAATGCTCCCACGATAGCTTAGCCCTGACCCTGTAGTCCAAATGACAGTTCATTACTTACTCCCACTCGTTCTGATGTAAGTTCTGAAGTATGAATTCTTATTGGGAACCCCTTTTCCTCCATTTATAGACCGATTTACTTTTCTTTCGCTATGCTTGACTGGTATGGTACATTCACCCATTTTGGCCGCGAAATTCGTGGTGGCTGAACTACGCGGCAAAATTCGTAGTGATTTAAACGACTCTCGCGCCTACCATTGGGGCGCAAGTTTCCTTAGATTGGACAAGTAGGGCCAATTGATTCTACTTATCTACCCTACTTCAAATTTGTGCCCCATAGTTAGGCGCCAGAGTCGTTTAAACCCATCGCGCAGTTTGCCCCGTCTATCCAGAATTGGGTGGATGTTCCATCCCCACGCTTGATAGCAGAATGACGATGGAACCTCCTTTTCCCTCATTGCAACAGATGGTTAGATACTTCACTAAATCAAGAGTTCCTAAAGTTGAAGCGAGAAAATGAAAAAGGACAGTGAGGCTACGCAAAATTGATGACTGTGACGGCTATTAATCATGAAATATTAGGCCATGAAAAAGTTAGTTTGTAGAAGGGGTAAGTTCAGATGGACTTCATTGAAATTCCAAGTAAACGGTCGATTGATGGAAGTGGACATGAAGTGGCGTCGAACGCGAAATGGACGGTTTCCTTATCACTATGGGACGCGCTCTCGCCATCCTATAGACTGAATTCTGAAGCTGCACATACGTAGGACATCGTCATCGCTCCCAACTTATGATAAGCCAAACTTTCGGGTGATTTTCGTTTGTATCTTTTGTGGGAAAGTGACTCATCTTATGAAATCAGACAGCAAGGTATGATTGAGTTTAAAGAAGGACTATTCTTCCTCTCAACCGAGTGAAACTGTGGTGTCATTTGTAAACAACAACAAACGAGTCGTTTTCGAAACAATTTCTCTAATAAGTTGCAAATCAGTTTATTATTCTGTTTTTTATCAATGTTAGGGACAAACCAGTCGAAGCCAATTGAGTTGCGGCCATAGAGATCCCTAGAACAGTAGTTGTATAGGAAAATCTCGTATTGCCCAGATTCAACCAAGCAAGCCCATGTAGAGCAGTCTGTGGACCAGTTCCCTTCAAAGCAGGCTTGATACCAGAAATAATTTATGTTGGAAGGATATGAGTTTGACTAGACCTGGCAAGATTCGTTCTATCAACCTCGAGTGTATGCAGTAGTCGCGCCTCTGACCATTGCGCCGTCTTGGACAGACTGTTTCATGTTCTTACTTCCCTTTATGCTAAGTAACTATGCATGCAATGCGTAGAGGGAACTAAAAGCACGTGCCAAAGACGATTGTTGATGTTATTGATCAACATCAATAAATCAATATCCATGGGTGGTTTCGTTTCTCATGGTAGAAAAGGACATGCCGCTTCCGTCAGTTTTGCTTGATTATGTTGAAGTTTGGGTGAGTATAAGTGCAGGATCTGAAATGAAAATGATATAGATCAACGCTGAACAATCGATATCAATCAATAGCATTTTGAGATTGGGTAGAACTCAGCATATAACTTCAACGCCTTTGCCTCATAGTTTTGAGACTTGGCGAATAGAAGGGCATTTTATAGGACCTCAATGGTGATCAGCAAAACTACGAATCTAGTTGAAATGGTCGTGTTATATATACGATAAAACTGATTGAACTTGGGCGAATGGAAGGGCATGGGGAAAGGCATTCCGAGATTTCAACACTGATGAATTTTAAACTTTTTTCATGAGCTGTCAAGGTGTGGGTGATGCCAGTACTCCAGTGGCTTGAGCCTGCCCTTCAATTTTTTTTGGTAAGAATTTGATGGATTTCTTGAAATGAGCTGATTTAGCACTTCTTCCTTGCCCGCTCAACGGCTAGACGGTGGGGGAGGGGAAGAGAGGGTGGGGTTCGACTGTCCACCTGGTATACGAAGGCCCGTGACGTGATGATTAGGATCTTCGTTGTTGCGAAGATCCGCATAACTAGACAATTTTACGGCCAAACGCTTCAATATTCCACTGAGTCCATCTTGCGGGTAAGAAAAATACTTTTTATTGCTTTGCGGTTTTCCTTGTCTTTTGAAAATCTACCATTTTACTTTGCAACTGGAATCGACGCTTTTCCATTGTTTGCTGTCAGAATCCGGTCTCTTCAAGGCCTTATATAGCGCCACTACGTTTACAGTACCTGCAAAACGGATTTTGTCAAATTTTAGCAGAGTTGTTACTGTTGGCGGCCCTCAATCGAGTAATGAGCGTTCCGCCACCAAGACGACACCTCCCACAGCCTATACACTCATTACACCCAAATATTTAGTTAACTCGAACTTCTCAGTAGCCTCGAAATTCTAATTTGAAGAATCTAGCTGAATAATTCATTCGAAATTCCTTTGATTCAACGTAAATGAGCAATTCTTTCAGAATTTTTGGAAGTTCCGGCCTATGCGCGGTTGATGCGCAGGTGGCGCAGCCTAAAGCCTAGCCTGTTATCTGGCGCTGTTCTTGGTCTCGTCCTCATCCACGTTGTTCGTTCGATTCTCACGGCTCCCTTGATTTTCCCAAAGTAGGATTCATAACATTATTGTCATACTCAGGATCGTAACGTTTCTATTCTTTTCAGAACCTCTGCCACAAATCCCCTAGCACCCGTGGTGATTGCTCTTATCACCTCAACTGATCCTGCCAAGGTAAGCTTACCTAAACCACCAAACTTAGATTATTTGTATGTAAATTTCATTTATTATCTTCGTAGACCGCTCTCTGTGAGGAAACCTGGTTGAAACGGGTGCATAGCCACATCGTTTTCACTTCCCGAAGGAACAGCCGTACAGACCAAATCTTTCTCCCACATAGACACGGGTCTTTGTGGTCTTCGTTTAGGTAATGCCTACTTTCTGAGAATCTTACAAACTCAAATCTATTTTATAGATTTCTATTATCGATTTAGTTCCAAAGCATTGTTCGCCGATCGTTACCTTCCACACCATTACTCTTGGTACATAATGACGTCAGACGATACCTACGTACTAGTTGACGATTTAATGCAGGTATGCTCCCGAATGACCGAGTGAACGCGATTTTCAACTGAAAACTTTTTTATTTTAGGATCTCTCAGCATTCGATCCCGATGAGCCGTATATGGCCGTCATTGGGCCGACAAGCATGCATGAGGTGATTTTTCTTTTGTGGCTCTTTAGCTCTTTCTGGAATTCCTGACTACATCGTCGTCTAAGGTGCTTTATTCAATGAGATGTAAAAAATGCAGAGGTAAACAATGCTGATGAAGTCTTGAGGCAAACTTTTGGCAAAGCTGCTGTGTCAAGTACATAAATGCGCAGTCCACGATGAAAATATTCTCTAATATTCCACTCCGGGATGAACCTGTAGCCCATAAGGATGACAAAGTGACGCTGCCGGTTCGAAAACGTCTAGATAGGGCGTGATGAGGGCCTCAAAACCGGTTGAACTGGCTTACACACTGAGGCGGACGAGTTCTCTCGAGTTGCAGAGGCCACAGAGATAGCCACATTCGCACCGGGACCACATAGCATGCATGCACAAGCAGCTTACTGTGGCCAGCTGTACGCAACGACACATTCATTCGGCAGCTCGTCCAAATAGCCCTTTCATGCAACTTTTGTCAGCACGTTGTTGTTAAACCCCTAATACGCCCATTTTTGCATTTACTTATTTCAACACTTTTGCACCAATTTGGACTGTCACTTCTTTAATTCATCTGCAATTGGATTTCTCGAAATTATCTGGAACTGTGCCTTTGAAGTTTCACTGACGACTCATACTTTGTACAGGAAGCGAGTGATTGGAAGCAAGGATAACCTGCTTGTCCTAATAGTTCAAAGCTTCATATCAGGAAATTTTTGTATCCCTGAACGGGTAGAAATTTCAGGAAAACTTGCCAAAGTTGCATGCCGTAATTATAGTCTCCAGAGGAGCGATGAACTCATTTTGGGATGATATCCAGAAAGGCTATGAAGGATGTGCTGTAACCAGTGAACCGAGCAGTTGTTTAAACGATATTGTACATCTGAACCTGAGAGAGGATGCACACAAACGCTTACGGTAAACTATACTGTTGTAATGATCACACAATCCAGTAGTCTATCCCTGATTACCGCTATTTTAGGTATCTAACTATGCAAAGGCATTTTGCCAGGTACAAAGAAAAGGACGAGTCTCACACGCTTGAAGGGTATAATGATGGAGCTCAGGTAATTTTGATGGTGTTTATCGGAGGTGAAGGTAGTTTGGAAGAAGAGCCGCACACTAAGACAAGCATGATGGGATACATACCAGAACCGTACCTGCCTAGGCCTTTCATCCCTTCTCGGTCGGTTGATTGGTATCAGTTTGTCTGGAAAGATGAAAACACTGGCTTGAACAACGGCTACCCCCCGCAAGTCATTGTGTAAGCTTCCAAACAGCCACTACGTTGAGTATCGCATGAACGGCAGTGAGTAGCTCTGGAAAATTCCAGCCTTCAATTTATGTGAGATGCAGAGGTGGGACAAGGGCAGACAGTGCCGCTACCTTAACTTTGATCCTGGATTAAAACGCTGCTTTAGTCCGTGGAGCACGGTTATGCCCTCCGCTCCACTAGCATTTTTGAGTTGGCCGTAAACTATAGGCACGGATTATTATGAGCATCATGATGTGCATAGAGCTGACTGCCACAGATCCTCGCATCACTTCAGCTGAATGCATTTTTCCAAAAGCTACTGCAATTCGAAATGGAAAATGGTTGCATGGCGTAACCCGAACAGCGCCTCAGGGCTGGCTCCCGACGCGCTGTTCGGATTACGCCACGCAACCATTCTCCATTTCCATAGGCTGGAAGCCATAGTACCTTTTTACTTCTAAATTTACGTCACGTCCTGAGGTTTTGGCGTTCATCAATCTCATCTTTGGAATGCGCCCCACATTCGTCTTCCACTCCGAATCGTAGTGGCGTATTGTATGCATATGTGGCTTATACAATGACATGGGGTGGTCAGTCGACGTACAAGTCAGTGCTTTCATTCTCCCAGTCAGGTACTAATTAGGCGACCCGAAAGGATGGAATGCTCGGTTGACCTGGGCGGGTATCGATCCTCGATTCGAAATTTGGACTACGCATGTGAAAAATGAAAACCGTTTGCCACCTTCACCACCAATCTAATTACGTTATAGTGTACATGCAAGTAAATGTAGATTTACATAGCACTTAGCATTTTGTGTAAATGATAAAATAGTTTTTACCCATACACAATAATTACAGTGTATTTTACAGGCTCTATCAATGGTTAGCGATTTTCTCATCAGTGTGCATAACCTTACCGTTGAAGATATCCGAATATTTGATCTACTTTTCAATAGAATTAGAGTTTCCATAAAGTCATGATTTCAACCAATTTTCGTATTTTTTATAAAATTATCAAATTTCGCAATATTGTATTCTCCTAAGGATGAACTCATGTATTTTGATCTTCAAGCGATGTCAAAATTTGACATGATAAATCTTTCAGGCAATCTTTCGATAGGTTTTTGTCGTTGTTCACGAATTTGCCAGAGGAGTTGTTTTTTAAATTTTTTGGCTTCAAAAAAAAAACAAGTTAAATTGGGGGTTGGACGAGAATGTGACGAAAAAAGTTGCATGGAGGGAGAGTTTGGACGAGCTGCCCGAAAATGTGTGCCATTGCGTACAGCTGGCTACAGTAAGCTGCCTGCATGCAACGTGTACGTCATGGTACGAATGGTGCAGATTTTGCAGCCTCTGCAACGCCGTGTGAATTCGTCCAGCTTGGAGTGTGTACGTTAGCTGAACCGGTCTTAAAACCCTCGATACGCCTTGTCTAGCAAGTTTTTCGATCCGCCAGCATCCCTTGTACTATCCTTAGGGGTCAAAGGTTCAGCCTAAAGAGTAATTTCAGAAACCATTTTCATCGTAACCTGCGCCTTTATGTTACTATACCAGTCGGGCCGCCTGACTAGCGCCGGGCTTCCCTCCTTCCAATGGTGTCCCGGCTTCGCCGGGCGGTACTCCTTNGAAATCTGCTATGCGTAAATAACTCTTCGAATTCTCCTTTTTCCTCGAAAGCTCTACACCCTCAGTATTAGCTCCTGATTGGGAGCGATCTTTTTCTCTGAGTCATCTTCGCTGTGTTCGGTAAGAACATCGTATAATATCACAAATGAAATTTTCGTGCAATTGGAATTCTTTGAACGCCCTGTGGTCAAATTGTCAATTTTTGCCCAAACCCCGCCCCTGTGGGCGAGATCCTTTCCTGCCACTTATACTAAGTGTTCGTATCCTGTCGCCTGTACTCCTACCAAGTTTGAACGCTCTAGGGCCCAATTGACAATTTTCGCGCAATCCCCGACCCCTATGGACGGAGTCTGGTCCTGCCACCTACAGTGAGTGTTCCCATCCTGTTCCCATGACTCCTACATGGGGACAGGAGTTGTGAATTTTTGCAAAAAACCCGCCCATTGTGGGCGAAGTCGGGTCTTGCCACCAACCATTAGTGTTCTGACCCTGCCGCCTGTACTCCTACCGGGTTTGAGTGCTCTAGGATCACGGGACATGAGTTCTGGTCAAACATTTATTTCTCGACATGAGTTCTGGTCAAACATTTATTTCTCACAAACCCCGCCCCCTCTGGGCGGGGTCCGATCCTGCCACCCACTAAAAGTGTTCCCAGATTACTCCTACCAGATTTGAACGCTTTTGGTCCACAGGGACAGGAGTTATGAATCTCCGGTCAGACACAAACACATACACACAAACACACCAACAGACACACTTAGCCGATTATATAAGTAGGATAGTACTGAGTATCGCTCAATAAAGAAATCTGGAAATACTAAATTGTAGAAATGACGCTAAAGAGAGGGCACGGAAAATGAGAAGTCGGTTAAAACACCTGGAATTCTAGCCTTCTTAAATCTGCATGAGCGATAAGCACACGTGGATTGATTTCAACAGGTTTTTCAGAGAGAATCTGCCTGAACTTTTAGAGAAGTGTAGATTTTTTGTTCTGGAAGCTTCCGTAGAATTACATAAAGGACAACACTCACTCCTGCGAACATAACGTATCCGTAGATTCCTTTGTATCGTAGTCGGTTAACGGGGTCGAGTTCAGCTTTGGCTCTTTTTTTTCAGGCTGCGATGCGTTGGGATAGAGAAAGCACAGATCCGCTCATAAGGGCCTCCATGGCCCACTCCTTAACAAACGCTCATTGGGTTTCAGCAGTGGAGTGGCCGGATTCGAACTTCTAATGAGAACAGTACAGTTGGAGAGACAGTTCGGCCAGGGGCACAGTTCACGATAATTTTTCGGTAGCCGGTTTCAGAGGCGTAATGGAAGTGGTTATCCTTCTTATATATAAAGCAGTAACTTGGTTTGTCGGTATGTCGGTATGTCGGTTTGTCGGTCTGTCCGTCCGGGTTACTTTGTGATTATGATAAAGGTAGTGATATGGAAAACTTATTCTTCTTATATAAAAAGCAGTCACTTTGTGGGTAGGCTAATGGAGTAAAGTGAGCACTGCGGAGTGAAGTGAGTAATATGAAGTGAGGTGGATGATTCAAATTGTGATCTCTACTGTACTGTAATGGCAGTACTTCGACACTGGTCCAGAATAAAGCAGAAAAACGAAAAAAGCACGAAGTTTGGCGAGTTTTGGAAGATATAGGTCTTCAAAAAGTAGTAAAATCAGAGGATGGACGACAATTTGACAGCGAAGTTCTATGGCATGGGTACTTTTACTAGCTGTCCAAATGGGCGCACTAAAGCACACAGCTGGCTGCAGTAGCTGCTTGCGTGCAAGATATGGGTCCCGGTGCGAATGGTGCAGCCTCTACAGCTTTCACAACGCTTGAGATCCCGTCCGCCTTCGGTTTGAAGGTAGACTAACAGGTAAGCCGGTTTCGAGACCCTTATTACGGACTATCTTGGCCGTTTTCCGGCTCAACAGCGTCTCTTCGACTATCTTTGGGGACTACGGATTCATAAAAGAGAGAAATCTCAGAAACCATTATTAACATGATCTGTGATTTTAAATAAGCCAGTAAGAGGGACTCGGAGGGGGCGGTGTCCTCATATAGCAATTCCATGGAAACTTCCAGAACGGTGCAAGAAAAACTAGACTTTTACGAGTTTTCGGCAGACGTTTTTTGAACTATGTACCTAATATTATAAGGTTGTTTCTAAGGAGCATGCATGCTTTTCTCTAAAGGTAGCGAGACTTCCGAGCAATGAGGGATTGTGCTAGGTATCCCGGATTCAGAGATGATTAAGTGGTGCATGCCATTACCAACATGACAACGGGCGACGTGTCGAAGACGAAGACGGGTGGAGCAGACGGGGCCTGATAAAAGGACAATGAGTCACGTAGAAAAGACTCCACTTCACTCTTCTCGTAATTCACCACAGGGTTCTCTTATACTGTCGCCAATCTTCTAGCCTATATGCTGTTACTTCTTTCCGTCGCGACCTTGATCAATCTTATATGATTTTTTCCGTTTGCTGCTAATGAACGTCGACAATGATCGTTATCGATCAGATGATTTCCAAATCATCTGAATGGACCTTTTCTAAGTTAGACCTATCGGCAAAAGTTTTCCTATTTACGTCACCCATTTAGATAAAATTACTATTACCTAAGTTGCAGAATGTTTAAGATTCATCAGGCTACTGTAGTTTTCCCAGAGAGTTCAATACCACCCAAAAGGTCAGTATAAAATTGGCAAAAAAGCCGTTATTTGAGGGTGTACCTAACCTTCGCGGACGAAGGATTTTAGATCCAAACTTAAACGGACTCGGGCAAGCGAGTGCCAAATCTCTGGAGGAGGTCTTGCGGCTGAAAGTGCCCCGATCGCACATAGCTTTAACCTCAGCACTTCCTGCCAATCGATAGGGCGCTAATTTCTAGGTTCGACCCATTCATGGCGCGTTACAATGGTCAATCAGCTTCTTTTTGAATGTCTACAACTCGCGGCGACCGCGGCAAGCGTCGCCTGCCACTTGAGTCTAAACCCTCGATATCGTCATCGACTGTCTCACCGTCCAATTCAAAATCCATGCGGAACTTCGCTTTCAATTCATTCCACCGTCAATTCGTCCTTAGTAGGACATGGCCAATGTGCAACAGTGTTAGATTTGTAAGATTTATTATAAATTTAAGCATCATAGACGAATAGATTCAACATTGATAAGCAGTTTAACTGTCGTTTTGTAGTTTTACTCATAAAAGTCGCCCTTTTTGTTGTCAAGGAGTTTTGCAAACTGTGGTTGCTTTCGAGCGTATTCGTAGATGCATTTCCTCGCTTCATCACTTAGCCTAAGCCTCATGGCAATACGGGCAAGTTCACGTGCACTGAAAAGTGAAAGTGTAGGGTTTGAGTACGTGCGGAACGATTAATGGAATCATGACAGAACTCGAAGTCCGAAGAAATTCATGATACAGCAACCCTGCCGACACTGTCAGATACTTCGGTGACACTAGCCATCCTCCCATATCTCCGCCCAGAGTCCTTTTTCATAAAGCCGTATATGTGGTGAGTTGCTTGGGAGTGACGGCGCGACCTCCGTTTCACTCCATGTGATTACTGTATCATGGATTGGATGCTTTCAAGTTTCAGCGATGTGCGTTGCTTTTAGCGACAACCGGCCAACCGACAGCGTTGATGGCCACAAGTTGACAAAGCAGGACACATTGCGTTCAGGGTCGCGTGCGCGGTATCGATCGATGTCTAGCGTTGTCAACGCGTGGCCAGCAATGCGCGGTAGGTCGGTTGGACATCGGCTGAGACAATGCACCTCGTTGAACTCTGGAAGCACCCATTTTTTCGGACTTCAAAGTCTGCCTTGTGCAATGGCACTCCTTCCGTTACCTTTCTTCAGTCCTTTTAGCCATCTCGGACGTCCTGTTCATACTTTTAATGGTTAGTATCACAAAAATTATACTTATGAAACTCAAGAGAATCACCCCAAGGAATATAAGCGCTATCCACCAATTTCTCTGAAATTATACACTTTTCAAAAGGTACCATAAAAACAGAGTTCTTCACGTTAATCAACCCCGTCTATAGAGGGGGGGGGGGGAGTTCTTCCCATTCAATTTCCATTTAAAATCGTAGGGCACTTTGAATGTGTAATGGCCTATAGATGACTTAGGCAGATGGAAAGCTCGTGTAATGTTTTTATCCTTCCAGACTAATCTGGATCCGATTAACCGATCTCGGGGAGATGGAAGGGTAAGTTGGCCAGGACGAGATCTCTGGTCCGGGTGTCGATCCCTGGACCGTGATTCTAATATAGCGCGGCACTTGCCACTGCAACACTCCTACCCTAAGAATATCAAGTGCCGGGATACCAAATTGGGGCATGGGAGAATTGGAATCAGAGGCTGAGGAATATTCCATAGTCGGAGTATTCGAGAATCGTGAGTGTCAGTATGGGCTACATACGTATCACCTTGGATAATGGCAGTGGTAATGCAGATATGAGGAATATGGAGTTAGCTACTATAGATCAGATACATATCGATCGAAAAAGTGGGTACAGTTTATGTGTATTCAATGCTGGCAGCGAAGTTATGCATCGTCATTTTGGACGATTTAGAAAGAGAGACGGTGGAATCTGATCAAAATCAGCCCACCCTGTAACTTGTAGAGCAGCTTTCCCTCATTGGACGACAACCCATGTTTTGGGAGTGCCGAACCACCTCCCCACATCTTTCCGTGGACGTGTACTTCCACTTGAATACTTATATGACTCATGCAAAAAAATGATGATGGTCAGTCAATCATACTATGAGCCATACTAGTTATCACTGTGCCCTGATGCCAATCACCTACTCGACTACGGAGAGAAGGAAGGAGTGGTCAGACTGAGAGGGATTTTGTCCGGGACCATCTGCACCGTTTCTACTTCACTCCAGCTCATCACCTGTTTGTGCCATTATTTCCCATTCACAACAATTGACCAGAGATTTTCTCGAATGCAGGAGCGAGACAACAAAAAGTGCCACTTCGCTATCTCTCAGTTTTGCGGGATCGGATCCCAGCCACTCCTGCATACGGTTTAAGCCCTCTGATTTACCAGCAGAAGCTTGTCATAGATGTTTCTTGGGGCCAGCTTGCGCTGTTGTGTAGCTTGAAGGAATGGCAGCGTAGGCCATAGGTGGAAGTACGGGGTGCCCCAAGTGGGCGCATGAGGGATTCAAAGGAAGCAACTGGCTGTATGCCCTACCTGGGTACGTCGCTTGAAGCACTAACCTCAGAACCATTTCCAGATTTACTTTCGACCGTAGACGGTAGCAGCAAAACGAATACAAGGCCAGGGGGCCATCTTCTTCTCATCGATCTAGCAAAATGATTCACCCTTCACTGTGGAATTCTAAGAAGGTCAGTTTGATAATGCCGAGATAAGGCAGAAATGAGTAAGCAATCATTGATATTTGCCAATTCCATTTTGAAGCGGTGTTCATTCTATACCAATGTTGCTGTATGGGTTTTTCAATTCAGACTATGGGACATGAGATGCCACTGTTTGTCGCGCTGCTGAAATTGGGGCATCAGACCGCCATGGCGATAGTCGGCAAACTTACCAAAAGCTTCTAGCTCTGAACCCTTTTCTAGCTACTGTGACTGGCAGTAACCGCCAACGCGGCGACCTGATTCCTGAGAGTTAGTAATGGTAAAATCTCCCATCACCTTAGCCCCCCCCCCCCCCCCAACCCGCGCAGGAAATTGGTCTGAATGTCGTGGGACAACTTTTTTCCTCGTTCAGAGCCCATCCATGGATACTGACATGACGACACTCTTCTTGAAGCGGTTCGGAATGGTTCCCTGTACAGGAGTGAGGGCGATATTTTCACATTCGTTTCGAATCCGGATTAGCTAGTTGTCAAATAACTGAATAGTCAATCTTCACAATCTTCGTTTCAACCCCCATGCAAGAGATCCTTCTATGTCCGCTGATTTCGAATTCCAAGCTCAGATGACAGTTGAAATTGTGGTGGTCGTGAACACTGAGCTTTACCTTGCAAGGGTGAGTTATTCATGAAATGGGAACGGTAACGGTCTTCAGTACCCTTGCACATGCTATGAAGTAGAGAAAGAAGGTCTTTGGCTACCCTTCCAGCTCTATATGCTTAAGTCAGCAGAAAGAAAGGTTTGAAGCTCGA